AAGCAGCGCGGAGGAGCGAGCGATGGGCTGGGCCAGGGCCCACAGCCAGCGTGGCCACGCTCAGCACTCCTCTGGCAACCTTTCCGGGCAGGGATGGGGCCCCGTCACCAGCCGGGAAGGGGACAAACTCCCAGCAGCCTGCCACGGGCTCCCTGGTAAATGCTGAGCTGTGGTTTGCTCAGGGAGTCGGTCTCAAACTGGTGTTTTTACCTCATCTCCTCCTGTGTTCAAATCAATAAATCTATGGTTCCACAACCTACTGGAAGTGGACTTTTGAGCAAGAAGTGCCAGAAGAAAAATGCTGTGAGAACATGGTGCAAAATGCTGCATAGAAACTCACCCTGCCCAGGAAAATGTGTCTGAAATATTTTGTAGGGGCAACTCCCGCAGTGCAGACTTTCTGCTGGCTCAGGCGTGGTGGGTCTGGCGTGAAGCTGGGATACCCCATGTCAAGCCGATCACAGCCGGTACAGCCAAGGTACCCGACAACACGCAGATCCCATATCAACGCACAGAGAACTGCAGTCTCCTGCAGGCTGGCATGCAGATGTCTATTAAAAATAAAGCTCAATTCTTTGGAGAATTTTCCCTAAAACCCAGCAAAATTACACCCAACCTTTTTGTCTAATGAAAAATTCCGTTTTTAATTCAGATTTTGCTAAATGTTAATGAACTTCCCTGACTCATAACATACTGACACTAGGCAAACTAACCTAATTTACTTCTCGCCAGGAAGCAAACATTTCTCTCCTGGAGCATCCAAACTTGTCATTGCTCTGTACCTAGACAGGATGCACACGGATGCTCTAATGACCTGGGAGAACAGGAAACCGCTCAGCCGCTCCTTCCTCCCTCTGCTGTATTTTCGCTTCGAGGCAGCTCCCGCTTATTGCGCAGGGGTGATCTGTGCTGCTCTGCCGGGAGACAAACTGCTGTCTTGCAGCAAGGTCCAACAGCGGATCCAGCCTGAGACAGTTTAACCCCCTTCCCACATCCAAGGACTCCTAGTATATTAATTCAAATGGAAATGCCACCTGCTTCGTGGCCATGTGGTCGAGGCTGAAAAACTTGTGGGTGGCAAGACGATGGGTGGGAACGTCATGGGAGGCACAAAGAGCTGCCTCCAGGTTTGGAGCAGCCTGGATGTGCTCATCCACACAGGCTCCATCTTTGGGTGCAGCATCCAGGATGCGGTGTGGACTCAGACTGAACGAAGCAAAAATTGGGCCTGATGCCCAGAAAATAGCAGCGATTCCCTCTAAGAAAGGGCAAATAAATAAATAAATAAATAAAATTAAGTTATGTATAGGAGCCTAATGTCATTATTGCCATTACAAAAGCATCATTATTTCAAATGTTTCCTCAAAGAGCGTAAGACCCAAATAGAAAAGGATTGTTTTACAGGTCAGAAAATCAAGGCTCTGGGAATTAAAGTGAGCCCCCGAGCTCTGCCTCCTCCCATCCTGTGCAGTACCCCAAAAGCTGCCCTGCACCGCTGATGGCCCATGGCCAGGATCAAGGCCCAGCAGCACTGACGGGAGATGCTCAGCTCACCCAGGGGTACAGAGAGCAACCAGTGACACAAGGGGCAGGGTGCACGTGGGGACCAGATTAAGGGAAAAGCAAAGACAGAGCTGAAGCAGGCAAACCTCCCTGCTGTCAGGGTAGGACTGGCCCCCAAGGGAGACCCTGTCCCCAAACCTTATAGACAAAGAAACAAAACCGAGACTTACTGCTAATAGCCCAGATGGGATTTTCTAGTCTCTGACTGATCCCAAGCCTACTGAAAGCAGCTGGAGCCTTTCCTTAGCTTTTAATGAGTCCCAAAGCAGCTTGTTTTTGATAAACCACACTTTTCCTACCATCTCACACTGCCTGAATGTTTCCTCCTAGCCTGCGCAGCCCAATATTTACTGAGGGCTCCCCAAACGTGGCTGGGGCTGGCTGCACAACCAGGCACCAAGCACTCGCATACATGATGAACCACAACACGGAAGGTAGAAGGGACAAAAATAGAGACTTGGGCTGGGAGACCAAAGCAGGGCTTGGAGATACAAAGCCAGTTTCCAGGTAAAGCTTTTAATTCCCACCGTCTGTCTAATGCCCTGGAATGTGACTTGATTTGAGCCCTTGCTCTGCCAGGGTGATTCAGAGCTACTGCAGTGCCCACGCACGTGGCCTTCATTTCCCCAAAAGGGGGAATGGTGGCTTCCTTGCCAGCCCAGCAAGAGGGGAGATAGTTTAAATATCACATGGCCGCTTTCAGCAGTGGGACCGACAGCTCTGCCTGGCAGGGAGCAGAGCCACTCTGCCGGGGGATACTCCATCCCTGGAGTAAGGGAGGACATCCTTTAGAGAAGGTGAAGATGGCCATCACAGAGTCGAAGCAGGAACGGGATGATGGAAAAGAGCACATCGCCCCTGTCAACAGCTGTGTTTCCTGTCTGTGGTGCGTGCAAGTCGTGACAACATCCTTGAGCTCAGCACACGCAACATTGCACTTCAGCAGCTTGTTCTGAGGTGCAACAGACTGGTTCAGCTGCTCACATCAGATGAGGGCATGGGCTGGTGTGCCAAAAGCATCCCATAATGAGAGCTGGGATGTGGGATGCAGGAGCCATCACTCCAACTCCAGCCCAGGCTCAGAAAAGGATCCTGTTCCAGGACAGCTTAGACTTTAAATGTTGTCCTGAACAAGGGGCATAAGCAGAGACTTAAGCACATCCCAAACAAAGCCTGTGCCACTAACTCACCCCGTGCCCTGAGCAGAGCCATGCAGCAGCCCAGCTTCCTTATGTGACTGTTGAGCTGTCCTGCCGGTGCCGCGCAAACGGGCAAACAGAAGGAGCATTCCTACAGCAAACAAAACAGCAGCGCGTAGATTAAACATGCATCCAAAAATACAGGCTGTCCTCAGGACACGCTTCAACCAAATTTGTTTCAACCGCTAAGCATCAAATTCTGCTGTCAGTTACTCCAGGTTTAAATCGACAAGAACGAGGGCCGATTCCAGTTTAATCAATTCCTTTCCGAATGAAAAGTACAGCAGCAGGACTGCACATCCCCATCGCTTACCAGAGATTTGATGACTGACCCACTGGTTCTTTATTTAATACTTCGTCAGCTCAAACCCAAATGATCTCACAGAAACCCTCTGCTCTGCCGGTGCTGCTGAAGAAGACATGAGCCTGAAGAGTGCATGAAGAGCTGATGCCAAATTAAAGCCTCCGTTTGGAGGAACTACCTCTGGATCTCACACACCCTTGAACTCAGAGGGACCCACTGCAGGTTGGGAGCAGGGAGGTTTGACAGTCACCCAGGGAGGTGACACAAGGCAGCACCAGCACCAGCCTGCACAGCCCTAGCTTTCTTTTTGCTTTTTTCCAGCCATTTTGAAGCCTGTGTTAAGCCACAGCAAGTACCCACAGCCTTAGGCATGAGAGGGTGCCAGCTGGTACCGCCAGCTCAACCTGGCTGCAGAGGCAGGAACAGGGGATACCCACGCTGCCAGCCCAGCTCTGCCAACGCTGCTGGAAGAGACCACTCCATCCCTTTGAGGTGACTCGGGACCTACACTGTCTCCAGTCCACCCCACTGGTAGGTATGAAACATATTTCTTTCTTCTTCAAATAAGCTTAGCTCCAGCATGGCTGTGCGCATGGGAAGGGGGTTAATTGAAAAGCAACATGTACCTTGCTCCTTGGCTCATGCAAGGCGCTGTCTTCTGGCTGATGCACAGCTACCGGCAACGAGGCTGCTTCCCCTGAAAGATCTCTGCCCTCTGCCCTGCTGGGGAGGCTTGGCTGAGCCTGTCGAGTGCGCTGTGGACCCTACCTGGTTAAACACCCTTTGCATTTGCTAAATAAAGCAATAATAAATGATAACTAGGAAACTTGGCTAAATAATCCTAAGAGGCTTACTCCAGGCTGTGTCGATTAAGGCTCCCCAGCAGTGCCGATATCCCAGTGCACCCTGGCCCCCACTGCTCCTCTGCACGAATAATATCTGAGGTTATCTGTGCTCAAACACGCCCTGCTAACAACCATCATTTGACCAGATTTAACCAGCAATTACTAGCTGCGAACAAAATCACTGTGGTAAAA